ATAACTGGGACCGTCATGGACTGAAAAGGTACATACTCAGCTAAACCTGCATAGACAATGCGACAAAACCTTTTGTAAACGTCATCAACGGAATTGTAGCCATCAAAAGCGCTCCACCAATCAATAGAAGAAAAATAATTCGACAACGCAGAATAATCTGCTTTGAGAAAATTCGGTAGTGGAAGTATGCGTGGTGAAGGCGAAAAAATAAGGACTTCAAATACTGTGATCGGATGCTGCAAAAGGCGGAATCACCGTGACGTTCTTAACATTAGGAGCATTTGATAAGATTATGTCCAGAATAGACTTACCACGTGTGGGCATTTTTACATGTTGAATTAAGCCACAGCATTTAAAGAATTCCAGAAACCTATTGGCGGTCGAATTCTTTGCTCTGCCTCTCCTCCAATCATTATCAGCGTTAAGGTCTCCCAAAATAATTAAGTGCTTGTTAAAACTACATAGATCAAGCAAAGCATCAATAAGTCTACTGTCATCTTCTGTAGAGCAATTAGGTGGCCGATAGATCAGTAATACCCTAAACATCGCACTGGAAGACCTATCAAATCCATCAAGGCAGAGAAGTTCAGGGTTGAGAAGGCTTGGGGTGGTAACATTGGCTAGGAGGAAAAAATTTCTAGCTATACAACAAACTCCTCCCCCTTTATTATCTTTACGATCAAAACGAAAAATGTAGCGGCGATTTCCAAGGAGTTCAGAGCTAGATATTTTCGATGATAGCCATGTCTCTGTGATAAACAAGGTCCGGGGTATGCGTGTCTAAAAAGAATTGTAAATGGTGTATCTTATTAACCAAACTCCTTGCATTAAATAGAAAACATCTCATACCTAGGAGTGTACCGTGACAACTCAGACGCTTCCCGATCCCCGTATTTTATGGAGCTCGTCAACACGTCTGATTTCGCCACGGTAAACCACCCAAATGCGCTCCTTTGATTGTCTGTTACGCGCCCTACATTCCTCTCTCAACTCAAACTCATGCTTGCGCTCTGCTGCAGTCATACTTTTACGTATGTATATATTTGAAAAGCCCGCAGAGCGCAAGCAGTGACTATTGGTGAGGGCCGTAATCCAATGACTCCTAGATGGAAGCACAACTTTCACCAACCGTGGACGTGTATCATTAGGTTTCCCCACACGGTACACTTCCACGGGTCGGCACTCAACTCTCACACAATCCAAGATTTCAGTTACACGGTTCTCAAGCTCTTGCTGTCTAACAGAAGGAGGTTTGCTAGAGTTTGACTCCGGAATACCGAATACAACCAAACTGCGCTCCCTCTTCTCTGCTTGAACTGCGTCTGTTATTGTTTGTGGCAGCTTGGTTACCATCGCATTGATATACTTAGCCATAATTGGATCCCTGAGCTGTTCGTTTCTTTCCATCATGGCATTTATTATTTCCACCATAGTCATATTTGCGACCTCTGTGTCGGAAGGACAATTGGCTGGCACACTTTTCACATTAACGGCTTGACGTGTTCGCGATTTGTTCTGTGACATGACCAACTTCCTATGAGGATCAAGGTATAAACTATTGACTCAGCTCTCTTCCTAAAACTCCGCACAGCGTCGTCCAGACAAATAAATCCAGGCGAAATAAGGAAGTATATGAGGTATAGTCGTTAATCGCCACAGAAGCGTCGTCCAGACAAATAACTTCAGGCGAAAT